ATAGGCCGACCAAAATCACTTTAGCATATGATTTATTCTATCAGTGAATCCCAAATCGACACCAAGAACAAACTCCTTTATAACTTTATTTACTATGAAGCAAATGAAAAGTAGCTCTATCTATCTCATTCACCGATTTGACAATTCCTCAAAAAGATCAAAATTCGGACCAGAACAATGTTCATCCAATTACAGATTCTAAAAGCATATATGATAGTGATTTGTAACAACTTCTCAACAAGAGCCATACATTTAACTTTCATGGAGCTCAACATCACAAAATGAATCAAACTCATCTTAATCGAAAAGCTTTGGATTGAAATCGAGTTCTGAAATTTGGATTGAAGCTTACAGGAAAAGAGACACCAATAGTATCGCTGACCAATGATTTCGTCTTCTCGCAAAACCTATCAAAATGAATTCGTCAAATTGCTTAAACAATTTCTTCGTAGACTTCAGGGCTTATGGAATCTGGCTTATAAGGAGAGAAATCAAAACCTCAAAGGTTGCTTGGAGAGAGGACACACGAGAATCTCGGAGAGGGTCTTGTCGATTGCAACTCCGGCGTCTTTTAGCAACACTCTGCTGAATCTCACCATATTAAAGCTTTGATCTTTAGTTCTCTCCGGAGTTAAAAATTTCCCGATCTCGGGCGGAAATCGACCGGCGTTACGAATAGAGCGATGGTTTTGAAAACGAGCTAATTTGGGAAGTGTTTGTTTGTCCTGGACCGGAGTAAAACGCAAAATGCCCTTTTGGCAGGAGACTCCCTGTAAATTTGAAAGTTTCTAATAACGCCCCTAAATTCCTATGCTTTATAGGTTAGTCCTTCGATGTTTTTTTATCAGGATCAGTCCTTTAATATTTGTTGTTTTACCATTGTGAAAGAAATTGTTCGGATATTACATATAAGCCTCTGTTTCTGAGAGATTTCAGTTGATGCCCTCAATTCTTATATTGTTAGGATTCGTCCAACAACGTTCATATACCAAAAAAAACATTAATTAGTTACCTAACGCTATTAATAGATAGATTTCTATTCAAATATACTTATATAAAAGTATAAAAGTTAGATAAAATCATATTTAAATTAAATTAATTATCATATTTTTTTTTTGTGTATTCTCTTTGCCAAATCCTAGGTTTAGAATTAACAAACTTGGTCATTATTAACACACAAAAAGTAGATTGCTTTTCTCACAGATTGTACTTTTATTACATTTAGGGTAAAAACTAAGGAGGATTGAGCAAGTAGAACCAATTATATCTTACGTAACGTAAATGGTAGGCATGTGCATTTGGACGCATCCCTTAGAACATCATTATCCATGATACAATGCGGATATCATTAACTATAAAATTATTAAAAACAGACTCTCTCTTTCTTTTTACTTAATTTTATACCTTCTCTTTCATATTTTTACTCAATTTTTATTAATTTTATATTCTCTTTAAATATAAAATTATTAAAAACACTTTTTCTCTCTTCAAAAGTATCAACTATTTGATACTTTTGATACTCTCTCTCCAAAAATACCCACTATCTCTTCTCTTTACTCAAATTTTATTAATTTTATATTTCAATACACCCCATTATTTCAACAAAAAACATTCTCTTTTTTTCTTTTTACTCAAATTTTAATAATTTTATATTTAATGATACCCACGTTGTATCATTGTTGTATTCTTAAAAACAATTGGGAGGGAGGTAGGAGAATTACTCCAAGTCATATCAATTTTTGCCGATGCTTTAGGCTTTTAGCATTCGTGATAATGATTTACACTCTAATGCATTCTTCATCTTCAAAGCGTTTTCTTTCTTTGTTCCTATTGTCTTATTTATTATCCTCTAATACATAGACTATGGTTTATCGAATATGTAATTTGTTCCTCCGATTCACAAAATTACTATTTTGACCCAAAACATAACATATGATAAAAGTGAAATAAGAGAATTATAGTTAGTCTATAGTCTATGATACACAAACACACAATAACTGAAATTTCGATGGGAATCCCAAACTTCATTTACATACCACGACGATTGGAAACAAACACAGTGAGTAATACGAAGTAAGAATCTCGTGTCATATTCAAAGATACAACATACCGTTGTTTTTTTTTGTATAGATTGAAGATTTCAATGTTCCATGAACTGCGACGAAGGCGGGCTTATTTTCGTCTTTTCCGTACCTGCAATGATATCAAGAGACTACTTATCTTGTTCATGCTTCAAGATTAAAATCAAATATTGTTAAGCTGTGTGTACATGTAAATTATACCATAAGCCCCACGAATCTCAACTTCTCGCAGTTCTTGGACAAGGGCACAGCAACAACACATCAAATGAGATAGAAAATCATCAATGAAACCTCCCTGCAAAGTCAGAAAACCATTAGCATTCATCTAATCAGTAAATGCATGACATAAACATAGGCAATTCAATACCATACTGTTATAGTTACTAGTAAAATTTTATAGGTGCGGTGCCTACTTAATCATTAACCAGAGTTTCACAAGCAAATTTGTTGTTTTTGGTTTGCAAATGGTAACAATTTTTTGAAAGCATACATATGTATGGGATCAGAAGCTTATTAAGATCGATTAGGGGTTCAAGGGAGTGAGTGGAGGTGAGTGTACCGTGATGTTCAGTGTCTTTCGGAGTTTCCTCCTTACGCAACAAGTGTAGCAGCAGCAAGAAAGTATCAAAGAATACGCCATTAGCTCATTACATGCTTCAGCTGAAGCTGGGAGAGCGAAAACAAAAACAGTCTACTTATTAGCTTTCGCATATATTAACTAACAAAATGAAACATAATAAAGTAAACGGTATTCGATATAATCCCTTACAGATGTGTCTGTTAGATGCTGCAGTGGCAATCTTTGCTAAAGTACCGCACGGGAAAAAGAATGTCTTCAAGCCTGCGGTTCCATCATTTAATCATTCACAACTTTAGATAACAAGAACGTATGGAATGTGAACCGCTAGTCATCTATATAACAGAGAAAACAAAGTGGAATCACATCACACTGGAAACAAGAAGAGGGACTTACAAAGAGAAGGTTCCGAACAACAAGCCAGTAAGTCGGTATGCCATTCTTCGTGGTGCTGTGATGCTTTACGTGAAAGCAGATCATGCCCCGAAGTAACAGAAGAAGTGGACCTGCATTGAACAATTATGTAACCCCAACGTTATAGAGACATTGTACCAAATCTTAACCCTTCAAATATGAAAACAAACCTGAAAAGCATTACAGTCACAGCAAATAATTGGACATTAAACTTCCTAACTCACAATATAATAGTTCTCTTGTAAGTGGACAATACACACAAAATTGCATATAAAGAAAGCACATGAAGTTTGGATCTTATAAACGGAACAAAATGGAGATTCTAACCTTGAAGCTGCACGACTACTGCTTTTCTTGGGAGAATCTTCGTCATACGAATATTCTGTCTTATTGCTTGAGCTCCGCTCATTTTTCTTCGAAGCTTTCTTCGTCAGCTCCTTCTCAGAGTCATCAACAGCAGCAACAGTTTGTGTAACACCAATTAAACGCTGAATGACTTCACACTGAGCCACATCATAATGCTCCTGCGAACGCTGAAGTTCGAGCTGCAGTTTCTCGTTTTCTGTTTTGAGAGCATCACAGAAACGCAAGTTAGGGTACGAGCAAGAGAGAGTCTTCTTCAACACCGAAGCCGCTTCTCTGGTGGATTCTTGTTTCATAATAACATCTTGCACATGTCTATCCTCTTCAGCCAGAGTATACTCGAACTGATCACGGTCAATATACTCCAATCTCTCCTATATACAAAAAGAGTCAAAAATCCATTTTCTCGAGGATCTTTAGATAGAAAAATTCAGGTAAACTTACTCTAACTCGAGCGTTATCGACCAAAGTAATGAGCGGTATGATCTTGAGAAAACGATCAATCTCATCCTGAGCTTTCCTGAACTGGTAAACAATGTTCCAACCCATAGCCAACAAGTAAAGATAGCTCCGATCTCGACAGCTATTGACAAGAATGTAAGACCTTCTCAAAGCATCCTCGAGCCCTTCGAGAGGCTCACGAGTCTCTGGATACTTTTTCATTTCAGAGATCTTCAACTGTTCAAGCAAATTCCCAATGAGTTTGAGATGTTGAGCGAATTGACGACAGTTCTTCTTGTGCATCCAAGCAGTATTAGCAGCTTTAACTATAAGCCCTATCAGCTTGACTGCATCTAGACCAGTTAGCTGCGCTACCGACGCAATCTCCCCAAGACCATCCCATGAATGTGACATTTTCTTCGATTCTCCTTGAATAAGAAAGTTCCTGGTAATACCGATTCATCATCATCACTCGCATTAACCAATTTTAAGGAATTATCGAGATTTGTTACCTCTAGTGAGCTAAAATCTTAACCGGAATCAGAGAATTCAATCCAACGCCGGCATTGTTGATCGAGATCGAGTTAAAGCCAGATTCCGACGACGAATCAGAGGTCACCACAACACAGAGATTTCGAATCGCATGAGGGAGTGAAGAGAGACTTGAGTAAAAGAGGAAGCAGTTTCTTCGACTGCGACAACAAAGAAAGAAAAAGAGAAGAAAAGTCTATAAGATACCAATCAAAGAGATTCTCCAGGTCCTTAGGCTTTTTCTACGTCAAAGAGGATCTTCTTCAAGACCAAAAAGAAAAGAAAAATCCCTAAAGACTGTTTCTCTTTGAACACTTGAAGCTAACAAAAGCGAAAGAGAAAAAAATACAAAGACCAGAAAGCAATAAACTGTGTAACCTCCGATGAATCTCAATTCGCCGGCGAACAAATTA